AAATTTTTAGTGCTAAAAGTTTCTCAGAGTAATTAAAGGCTGAGCTGATCTAATTAGTTTGATGAAATTTTCAGTAGGGATTTAATTCTCCCTAGCACGTCACTTGCTTTTTTTTTTCTTCTAGAATCCTTTCTTAGGCTCATCCCAAGCAACATTTAGTGACAGGATTCTAAATTGCCTCACACAGGCAGTGTCTCCACTCAAAGGATGGGAGCAGGTATATATGGCTAAAAAGCAAACTTCAAATACAAAATTCTATGTTGTTTTATTGAGTGCCATCCTTTCATGCCTCTTCAATTTTATTTTTCCTCCTAATAAATGATCCATATATATAAAAACCTAAGCAACTGCCTGACCACCTGACTGGTCAGTAGCTATGATGTACACTGATCACCAGGGGGCAGAGGCTCAACGCACATGCATGGAGACATGGAACAGACTAATGAATCTCAGAGGGGGGGGGGCAGGAAGAGATTAACCAAAGATCTTATACGCATACTAGAGGCCAGGTGCATGGATTCATGCACCAGTGGGGTCCTTCGGCCTGGCCTGCAGGAATCAGGCCAAAACCGGCTCTCTGACATCCCCCCAGGGGTCCTGGATTGTGAGAGGGTGCAGGCCAGGCTGAGGGATCCCACGGGTGCATGAATCCCTGTACCAGGCCTCTGGTATTAAATAAACTTCACTCTGCAGATGGGAAATAGATGTTTCAAAGCATTTTGGATGCACAAAGAAATGCATGTAGCAAGAGATTCTAAGGCAAGATTAATGAGAGAGCAGCATGACCCTTACTTGTAAGTCATTTTCTAACAGCACCAAGTCCTCATGGCCAAAATATTCAGAAGAAATACATATTAGTGAAATGTTCCTCCATCTCTGAGGATTTTTTAAAAATCTCTATAATGAGCATCTTAGAAATCATCTCTGATACTTTTATATAGAACAATGTATTCCAAGTAGTCTAAGGTGAATGGACAGGTCTGTAGATGTCTTCAAATAAATTCCAAGCATCCCACTTAGATGCCATTTATCTTTTTGCAGGGTCAACCAATTCCCTCTTGTGGTATAATAGTCACTTAAAACTTCTTGTTGGGAAAATTAAATTAAATTCAAAATGATGAATAATTCTTAAGGAACATATATTATAGCTTTTATTCAATTTTATAAAAATGCAATTAAAATATAAACAAATGTTTCTTGCCAGAGCATTGGTATTGCTTTTGTAAACAACAGATTGAAATAGCATAATTTTTAAAGGTGTATTATTCTCTAAAAATTTCATAGATGTGGGCTGTATATAATGGTAATTTACTATTTAAAAATTTCCTGTTTTCTCTTAAATTTATTTCCTTTGAAAGTAATTTGCAGTAGCTCAAACATTTATCCAAAGGTTTTTCCATGTACTTATAATAAAAATATAAGTTTTAAAAAACTGCTTTGATCCTCCATTATAAATTCGTGGCCATTCAAATTTCCCTCTCATTTTGAACAAAGTATAATGTATAAAGTCCAGGTTAGATTTTGTTGAACTAATTTTACTTTATTTTGAAATTTAACACCCCCCCCCCAAAAAAATAATATTCTTAATAAGGGTTGGTTGCTCTACATGCAAACCAAGTCTTATTTCAAATAGGCATTACCAAATGCCATATATATATAAAGCCCTAATTGTTTCACTATGTAGAATGATTTCTTCTTTAACTTTAATCTTTTAAGAGTGAAGATGTGAATACATGATAGTGGTAAGACATTGTTAAGTCTGTACCTTGAGTGCCACTCTTTACAATGAAAGAGAGCCAGCCATTCAAGTATTATATTTTATCTGACAGGATTCTGTGTTCTAATCCTGTTACCCCCTCATTGCTCTTGACTGGTCTGCAACTTCTCTAGCTCAGTGTCCCCATTTCCAAAATAAGGAGGTTGGACTGGAAGAATGATTTACAGGATCCTTTCAATTCAACACTCCAAAATTTCTTCTCTGTCTTCAGACAGGTGCTATGAGTGTCTCCCCCAGGATTGGTCATCCTAAGAGGGATTATGTACTAGATTGAAAAAAAAATGTTATGGGCCATAAATGAAACCATAATTAAGGGTTTATACATGCAGTGTGAGACAGGGCAGAAAGCCCAACAGAGTTCAGGAAGGCTTCCACGGGCTGAGTGTTAAGAGAGATGTGATGAGAGTGAACATGGGCATGTTCCTGTCTTTTCAGTAATAATACAAAGCTCGGCTATCTGAAACAAGGTGATTTAACTCAAAATCTAGGATACTTTGTCACAATTTCATTTCAGAGTTAGGAAGAGCAGGGCATTCTAAATAGTCATTCAGACACGGATGGAAGCTATGAACCATCTGAAAGCCCTTTGAGTGAGGTCTGTTTTGATTTATAGGCTGATTTTGCCTGCATCCTTCCACCCTCTAGTGTGTTGGGAGGAAATAAAGTGCAAGAGATTACACATCAAAACGACGGCAGCACTTGCTCTAAACACATGCCCCAGGCTGTGGAAGAGAGATGTGGGATGTGCCCAATCACTAAAGAGGAGTGATAGCTATCCCAAACCTATAAAAAGACAATAGTATGAGTGAACCCTCACTGCATGGATTTAGTAGCTACCAATTAAGTGCCATCGGAGAGACCACCTGACTTGTTTTTTACTGTTGAGTTTTTTATGTGTGCGGTTGAAAGACGAATTGAAAAAAGATTAATTCTAAAGTGTGTAGTGCCATCGGAGAGACCACCTGACTTGTTTTTTGCTGTCAGTTGAAAGACCAATTGAAAAAAGATTAATTCTAAAGTGTGCGGACTACTCATTATCATTTAAACATGAAAGACATTAATCTGAAACTGCAATTTTAGCTTAAGGCAATTCACTGTAGCTTCATACACACATACACAATTGCCCCGCCCACAGACAGTGAGGTTCAGCTAAGCTCAGGCATTGACTGCAGAAATACTCATGTTCTTACAGGATACCTGAAAGGGCTCTTTAGCTAGAGATCCATGGATTCCCTCTCCCTTTTCCAGTCCATGTGGGGACTAACTTCCTATAGATAAGCAGGACATAGGGGCTGATGGTAAGCTGGCCTGCTGTGAGTGAACGTGAGGAAGTAACGTGGGTGTGGCTTGCTTCTTTCTCCAACCCCAATCCCCATCACCAGAGGGGGTTTCAAACATCTGATGTTTTGAAATTATGTTTCTTACCATGTTCCTCCCAACTAGAAATACTTTCTCTATCTCTTGCCTATCCAAACCACAATTATCCTTCAAGACTTTCATATTCTTACTCTTCTGTGTACCAGATGTCTCTCTCATTTCACTCTTTTGGAACTCCACTGGGTATAACTGGGCCACACAATTTAAGACCCCATTCCTCACAGTCTACTGCACATTTCTAAAAAACAGTTCTCAAGCAAACTTAAGGGTTTGTACACTTTCCTACAGCAAGAACCCTAACATACATTTTTGTTGGGACGCAGTACATTATGGGCTAAGAACACAAAAGACTCTGACATCCTACTTCCCTGATTAAGCCCTAGGCCTCAATACTTCTTACATGAGATCTTGCTCAAGAAACTTACCTACTCTGAACCTCAGTTTCCTTATCTGAAAATGCAGATAATAAAATTACCACCTATATTGTGGAGATCCCTGTAAAACTCTTAGGATAGTATCAGGCACAAAATAAGAGCTCAAAAAATGTCAATAACATTATTATAATAATTATAATAATTATCATTTTATTATGTCCACAGAGATTAACACAATCCTGACTCATACTATATATTTTTAAAGAGTAGAAGTTATTCCCTGGGAAAGAATCGATCCCTCCCACCACAAAGTATGGTTAGATCCAGCCCGTCAGAATTACATCTCCTTGCATTTGTTAAAACTATAGCATTTCTAATCCACCTTAGAACTCTTCTATACACTACTTGCTGGGCAGTGCCACGCCAGTGAGTTCACATAAATGGAAAACAAGTGAGGATGACCTCAGCAGTGACTGGTTTTCACTGATGCTTGCCCAAATCAAGTTTATATGATTAGAATATTTCTTTTAAATTATTCAAAGTATGTCACTGCTTATCAACAACACCCACAGCTAACCCGTAATAAATTCAGTTATTGAACTTTACATTTTAGAGGTCTATACCAAGCATGTCTTGGCCCATGGGCTGCATGCCTCGTTTATTTGGCCCATGTTAGCCTTTAAGTTTGTCATGCTTGGTCTACACCATCAAACTTCAGCTCAGTGAAGCAAGAGGAACCTCTGGCTGCAGAAGCCACAAGAAACTGGGTTAAGCTAAATAAAAACAGGCAGCTCTTATGGGAAAATATTCACACAAATTGAAATTCAAGAACTCTGTGATCTTTCTCTGCTCATACCCCAACAAGTGCCAATCCCATCAAAAGTTACAGCACTTAATGGCAGAGAAGGATGAGGATGAAGTGACTGATATCTTTTATCCTGAGAGAGTTGGTCAAGTAAACATCAAGTAAGCTCATCCAGTCACAAATGAAACAGCTTTACTTCCATCAGAACACATTGAATATGTCGTAACAAAACTGTTTCATCATATAGACTCATTTTTTTTATAGTCTCTCTCTTGTAGCCTAACTTTTTTCCAGTAATGCTCAAACAGGACTGTACAGTATACATAACGCCCAAGGCATTTAAGTAAAAAATGAGCAAAGCAGTTCCCTGAACTCCAGACACCGCATTTCTTTGGGTTTGACTTTCTTTTATAGCTATTATGCAGCTGCCCAGGCAGATCTTAATTGTGAATTACCGTCTACTTCAGAAGAGGAACTTCATTCCTTCACAATGCCCTATGAGCTGCCCACCTCCCCCGATCCTACATACACAGCAGTAGAATCCTGAACTTAAGGCTGTGTCCATGGACGCCACAAACATCAGGTCTGCAGCAAACGTGCTTTCAATCCAGATCTGAAATGATGAGGTCATGAATTGGGAAGCGATTGTGGTGGCGGCGATATTTACCTCTTTGAGACAGCCCATAAAGTTGTTACTGACTGGCGACCCTGGGAGGTCTGCTGTGCTGGGACTGCCTCCGACATAGAAAAAGTCATCAGAACCCAGCATGGTGTAATCTTCTTGCGTGTAGCCCGTTGTGGTAAGAATCCCATCCACTGAGATTGTCACCTAGATAACAAAGCACAGGGAAAGGACACGCTATACTCAGACCTGGATACTGTCATCCTGGGATATGCCTGTTTGTGTTTTGTTTTATTTTTTCATTTTGCTTTTTTTTGTTGTTGTTCTTATTTTTTTTTCTGTTTTTTTTTTTGTTGTTGTTTTTTTTTTTTTAGACCTATAGCGGAACCCATTTTCATGTCTGTTTGAGGTTTATCTTGGATTCTATTCAACTAGCCCTAAGAGAGCTAAGCTAGTTAGAGAGTTAACTGGTGATTGAACTACTGTGTCAGCATCGTCCCTACTGCAACTCAAAAGTTACTGAGCAGACACAAAAATGGTGTTAGTAAAATGCTTCCTAGGTTAGTTTTGCTGGTGTACATATTAGTAAAGTTTAGTCGTCCGTTATTAACTAATCACAACGTGCACCTGGTTAACATAAAAGGCACAAGCTATTTCCAGCAACGTCACTCTGGGCACTACTGAGCGGCGGTTGTGCATGCAAGTGCCTGCGCCCATGCCGGAGGGGAGGGAAGGCAAAACCACCCGTGGAAGCGGCACGCCCGATGCGCACATGCAGGGGGGACAGTACGGTTCCGAGAGGGAAGGAAAGAAAACGGGGGGGGGGGGAACCAAAGGGGAAACAAACCAACCAACAAACAAAAAAACTGCTTTGTGATGACGTAAAGATGAGTGGGTGTGGCATCTCCAACATTCCCAAATCAAGTGTGCATGCCATGCGTCATGAATGGTTAGAGACTGGCTGAGCCTGCGGTCACTCCGGCCAGCCACCATGTGTCTGATCCCGTGTTAACCACAGCTGGATGCAAAACGTTCGAAACGTTAACGATGCCCCCTACAGGTGAGGTTGGAAAACAGAAGTTGACAGGAACAGGTAAAAAATAAGAAGGTCCACAACGGATGAAAAGAAGGAGGTCAAAGTAAGCAGAAGAGTACCAACCGCAGTTCCTCTTTTGTTAATGATGTCTACAGTTAAAAGAAAGAAAGAAAACACACGGCAAACCCAAAATAAGAAACAATTAGAATGATATCTACCGAACAATGTAGTTTGTTTACCATAGCGTGTCCAATGCCTGAGTGCTTTGTGGAGAAGGGGGGAGAAAGGAAATTAAAAACTGTGAACAGAATAACGATCGTTACTTAAAAAATATGATGGTCTCTACCATGTTAGTACATTTTTTTTTTTTTGATTCAGGTAACGGTTAGTAGAATGAAACATTCCATGAATGACATGTTAGTTATTAAGCATGTTAGTAACATAGAAAAAGGGCAAAAAAATTTTACAAGAAAAAAGCAGACTAACAAATAGGCCTCCCGCAGAGGTAAATATTTTTTTCCTGCCAGTTTTGTTCATAACTTGCTACCAGACAGAAACAGACATATGGCAACATTCCCTTTGTCTCCCTGAGTATATCTGACAGACATTTTAAAAAGCTTAGAAGGGATTCAAAGGCCTGAAGCTCATCAGCTGACCACTGCCACCCTATGCCCATAAGTGACCCCCCCCCCGCCCTGGCCCTCCCCAGCCCCAGCAAATTCGTAGGAATCGGTTGGCATTGCCCTGCTACTCAATTTTACAGCATACAAGGACTCCTCCTCAACTCCAAAACTTCCTTCGGTCATATTGATGGACTTTAGGGTCACAGATTACTGCAATGAAACAAAGCAAAGATCCTGACACATAAAATGAGTCGAATGGGTTTGTGTTTAATCTGTCCTGCCACACATGCACCCCGGCTGAACGGCTACGGTGTCCTTTGAGCTACCAATTCAGAGTTTGCTCTGGAACCTGAGCAAAGGCAAATCTAGAAAGTGGGCTCCTCAAGCCCCACCCTTCCTTCTGTGTTTCTCTCAGATGAGCCTCCGGTCTCTTGGTGAGTATCTGAGAGAAGGAATAAAGAAAGGAAAACCAAAGAGACAGACTTATCGGAAGTCCAGGTTCTACAGCTGTTCTGAGGGTGGGTGACCGCCTCCCAAGGCCGGTGTGATGCCTGCAGGGCCCCCTGCAGGCCAATCAGGCCTCTGACAGGTGCTCGGGGAGATCACGGGAATCCTTCAGTTTCACTTGTCTGCCTTAGCTCGGCTACCGCTGCTATCCTACAATCCCCCTTGCCTTCTCTCCCTTGGCTAGTCTAAGCCTCTCCGAAGTGGGAAAGAAAAGGTTAGATAGTTAACAGCTCAGAAAGAGAGGGCTGTTTTAGGAAAGGAAAACCCGAGACAATCGATCACTCTGCAACTGTTCAGAGAAACAACAAATATGTTAAGGATATTAGTTTGAGATCAGTATGGACTGCAGAAAATTAGTCACTGTCAACACTTCACAAACGACACATTGTAATTTCATGAATTTCAAATGATAACCAAAACTTATCATGTTCAATATATAAGCATAATCTACTCACTTTCATCTGGGTATATATATATATATATATATATATTTATATATACTGTAATAATATGTCTCAGTTAAAAACATACAGTATATGAGGACCCATAGATTAACTACAGAATGGATCAAAATCTTGTATTTAGACTTCTCCAAGATTTTTTTTTTAAATACAATTAAATAGAAATGGAACCTAGAATGTGAACTGGCCTCTCGGGAGTCATTTGGGTTAAACTAAAAGTGTCTGTTCTAAAAACAAAATAAAAAAATAGATAACTTCATAAACAGACTCTTCAGGAGATATGTAAACTCCTAAAGTCACTTTCCCCCGCACCCCCCCCCCCGCAGGGATTTTTCTTGTCCCCATTTAAAAGGTGGGGGGTGGGGAGGGGGTAGGGATTGATACAATCCCCGATCACAAACACATGTTTATTGACTACAAAAAAGGAACTGTGATTTAATGACCCCAATGTGCATGCTTCCAAATGATCACCATGAAAACTATAATTTAAAATCAAACAAATAAAAATCAAAAAACACAACAAAACCACACACATCACAGGAAGGGCAGGTCGCAGAGATATCCTTGCAGCCCTCTGGGAAACTGTCCTATGTCGCTGTATCGCTGTCTCTGGAACCTGAGCAAAGGCAAATCTAGAAAGTGGGCTCCTCAAGCCCCACCCTTCCTTCTGTGTTTCTCTCAGATGAGCCTCCGGTCTCTTGGTGAGTATCTGAGAGAAGGAATAAAGAAAGGAAAACCAAAGAGACAGACTTATCGGAAGTCCAGGTTCTACAGCTGTTCTGAGGGTGGGTGACCGCCTCCCAAGGCCGGTGTGATGCCTGCAGGGCCCCCTGCAGGCCAATCAGGCCTCTGACAGGTGCTCGGGGAGATCACGGGAATCCTTCAGTTTCACTTGTCTGCCTTAGCTCGGCTACCGCTGCTATCCTACAATCCCCCTTGCCTTCTCTCCCTTGGCTAGTCTAAGCCTCTCCGAAGTGGGAAAGAAAAGGTTAGATAGTTAACAGCTCAGAAAGAGAGGGCTGTTTTAGGAAAGGAAAACCCGAGACAATCGATCACTCTGCAACTGTTCAGAGAAACAACAAATATGTTAAGGATATTAGTTTGAGATCAGTATGGACTGCAGAAAATTAGTCACTGTCAACACTTCACAAACGACACATTGTAATTTCATGAATTTCAAATGATAACCAAAACTTATCATGTTCAATATATAAGCATAATCTACTCACTTTCATCTGGGTATATATATATATATATATATATATTTATATATACTGTAATAATATGTCTCAGTTAAAAACATACAGTATATGAGGACCCATAGATTAACTACAGAATGGATCAAAATCTTGTATTTAGACTTCTCCAAGATTTTTTTTTTAAATACAATTAAATAGAAATGGAACCTAGAATGTGAACTGGCCTCTCGGGAGTCATTTGGGTTAAACTAAAAGTGTCTGTTCTAAAAACAAAATAAAAAAATAGATAACTTCATAAACAGACTCTTCAGGAGATATGTAAACTCCTAAAGTCACTTTCCCCCGCCCCCCCCCCCCCGCAGGGATTTTTCTTGTCCCCATTTAAAAGGTGGGGGGTGGGGAGGGGGTAGGGATTGATACAATCCCCGATCACAAACACATGTTTATTGACTACAAAAAAGGAACTGTGATTTAATGACCCCAATGTGCATGCTTCCAAATGATCACCATGAAAACTATAATTTAAAATCAAACAAATAAAAATCAAAAAACACAACAAAACCACACACATCACAGGAAGGGCAGGTCGCAGAGATATCCTTGCAGCCCTCTGGGAAACTGTCCTATGTCGCTGTATCAAAATAGCCTTTGGGCCCCCAGAACTTTCTAGATATGCCCCTGCTCAAGTATGGCAGGAAGATTCATCTCAAAAGAAAAACAAAACAAAACAAACAAACAAAAAAAAAAAACACAGCTAATTCGTAAGCGACTCTGAGGAGCCCTGGAGCATGTCCTTAGGGTTTCCAAGTACCACACACACAGCTGTAGCGAGAAACAAAGCCAGTTACTCTCTTATCCACTGCGCTGTTACCTGACGCAGATTCCTGGTGACTTTCACATCATGCCAGGCATTATCATTAAACTTTCCGTTCACGGGCTCCACTAGCGCTTCAAAGGCCCCTGATCCCAAATTAATGACCAGAGAGACAGCTCCATTTTTCAGGGCAAGATTGACATAATCAGCGGATTTCCCAGTGTGAAGCATCAGTCCATTCCTTTGAAGAGTTTTAAAGGACAGAGTTATTTCATCGCTGCTGCTTTGAATGGGGTTTTGAGACAAGTCGTAGCAGAAGTATTCAGATCCCTTGAAAGTGGCAATATATTCTTCTTTTCCTAGAGGGAAACAGATACATACGTGCATAAGTAAAGCAATAGACTATGTAAGTCAGCAGATCACAACAGAAAAAAAAAATCATCAGTCTGCAAATTAACTCTTTGGCTTATAAACATTTCTGACTGATGCCAGCCCTGTCAAAGAAAGTCAAAAAGTACTGTAGGTGGCAGTATATACCATCCAATCAACCTCCTCAGCCATTGGGCCATTAACTACAGTAGCTAAATCTGACATTCTTGAAAATTCAATTAATTTTTAAGTATCACTGCAAGAGCTCTGATCAGAAAGAAGTAGGTCTGCGATATCTCCAGGGCATGAATCAGGTACCATAAATGCATATGGGATGGTTCTACTCTGCTGGCAACAATGGTTTCCAACGCATTGCAACATTCTCTCCATCCAACTGAGGCATTATTTTAATTTTTAGTAAGATGTTTATATTCAAAGATCTTCTCAGTGAAGAGCCAAATGTGTTCATCACTGAGAAACCATAACGAAGTATCAGGTGAGGGGAAAGCAAAGAAAAGAAATGGAATTTGGTCTGGGAGTAAATAGATTTCCTATAGATCATGTGCATTTTTTTTTTCTCCCTGGATAAAGGGAGCAGTGATAGAAAACTTAATGGAGTCAGCTGGATTGTTGGTTCATTCCCCAATCTCATCAAACAGATGATAGGGCTGGCTTTTATGAAACTGGCAGGAATTTCCAGCAGACCATTATGGGGATAGCATATAAACGAAGTATCAAAATTTTCTATATATTCAGACTTTACCATATGTAGGAGTAACAATGTGAATCCCACAAGATGCTATACAGATCAAACAGAAATGTGGCTATTTGGAAAGAGCTGTCTTGTCCCACAGATGAAATGAGTTTAACCAAAGGAAGAGTGTGAGCCAAAAGCTCCCTCAACATCCTGGGCAATTATGGCATTGTGCCAAGAAAACTGAGATGGTCTGGAGTCAGTGTCTGCTAAACTGTAAACATGAAACTCCAAGTGGTACTGAAGAATCTTAATCCATTTCACTGGTAATATAGCCTCTCTACTATGCCCACTGGAGGTTTCATATACCAAAAGAAGTCTCACTCTAATGGTGGCGATATCTATCTATAAATAGATAGATATCCTATCAATAAATGAAAAGATCCTCAATCCTATGGGTCTCCAGGAAAAGGCACAAATCAAACTATATTAAGATATAATTTCATAGCCATAACATGGAGAAAAACAATTTTAAAAACTGGACAATTCCAGGTTTTGGAAAAGCTGTGAATAAACAATAATTCTTGTCTTCTGCCGATGAGACTGCTGCTGAGATGAAAACTGACCGACTATAATAAATGCTATTTGGCACCATGCATTACTGTGGGAATGTTACATCTTATAAAGGTCTCAGTCCTTAGAAAATGGTTACCATGATCAATAAAAATAACATTCCCTAGTTCTTTCAATGGACTACTCTCTGCTCATAGTTTTGATCATTAGATGACAGGTAGTCAATTGAATTTGGGTTCATATACACATGTACATACATGATATATCGTGGTCCTCTTATCTGAAGATGATATTTATAAAATTTTCATCCCCAGTGAGTATTCAGAGCCCTGAGCCACGGGGAGGTTTAGAGGTCCACCTCAAATCTTTAATTTACATTATGAAGAAAGTGAGGCCGTGAAATCCGAATGACTTGCCAAATTCAGAAAGTGTGCCAGTAACCGAAGCATGGCGAGACCTCAGCCTTCTGACTACCCTTAAGTAATGAAAAACAAAGTTTGGAGACTTGAAGAGATTTGGTCTAAGTAAAGGCTGTAGCATTTTATCCACGTGACCTCATATCATTCCAAATCTGCGTAAGTTGGGATGAATCTTGACAAAAGATTTGTTTGCTAGATAATATGGCAGAGTCAAAGGGAATCATGTTAAACAGAGTTTGCAGTTCATTAGATGGCAAGTTTTTAAGATATTTTAACACAATGATATTCCTTCTAACAAAAATGAAAATATAGTATCACACCTTTTGTATTGTTTCATTTCAAATTTGGGTAATTCAGATCTGCATTAAATGCACCCACACAATTTTGGAAATATTCACTCTGTAGAATATGCCATTGCCTTAGAATATAATAAATGAGACATAATGTTCTTTTTCATGAAAGAAGATGTAATATATAATCATTGAAAAGTTTTTATCCAACATTATTTATATTATTACTATTGCTATTATTTCAGTTTTACATAAATCATTCTACTTTCCACGATATAATATGTTTTCTCCAATTCTTTATCTGTTACTGTAAGTTTTGTGTTATGTCATATGCAAATAGCAGCACAATAGTTATATATGCTTTACTGTTACACTTAAAGAATGCGTCTGTGTCAATTGGAAAATAGCCCAAATTCCAAATATCTAGATCACGTCTAATATATGCTAAAACAATAAACATCAAAGACACATTTGATCCAAAGCAATATAGAATCAACAAATATTTATATCTAGGATACATTAATAATTTATATAAGAAAAAATGGACTTGGCAAATTAACAGGAAAAATAGACAAAATAGTTGAACAGACCCTCCATGATAAAAGGGCATACACATGAAAAGATGCTCACCTTTATTAATTAGTCTTCAGGGAAATAAAAATAAAACCACAATAAAATATCAATATATTTCACTAAAAATAATAAAATGAAGAAGACAAAAAGTACCAAATGTTTGTGAGAATGTGGAGCAACTAGAACTCTCTTAAATTACTGGTGGGAACTAATTTTTGAAATTGTTTGGCAATATCTTCTAAAGCTGAATATATGTTCTCCTATGGCCCAGAAATTCTGCTTTTAAGTATACATCTGACAAAAATGTATACAAAGATCATCAGAATTTTTTCAGTAGCGCTATCTATAATAAAAAAATTGAAAAATACTGAAATACAATCAATAGTAGATTGAATAAATAAATTGGAGAGTAATCACACCAGGGAATATTAATCAGCAATGAGAATATATGCTCTACAACTACTACATGCCAGATACATGGGTAAATCTCACAATAATAATGTTGAGGAAGAAAGCCAGACACAAAAGAGAACGTATTTATGATTTTGTGTATATAAAAATTTTAAAACTAAACAAAACTAATCTGTACTATTGTAAGTCAAAATAATGGCTAGCCTTGGTAGAAATGGAGGGAGTCCTAGTGAGAACTTTTGGGGTTCTAGTAAAATTCTGTTCTTAATCTGGGTGTTGGTGATGGATGTGTTCAATTTGAAAAAAAAAAACATTTTGCTCTAAACTTATGATATGTTCACTTCCTAGTATTATATTTCAATAAAAAGTTTAAGTAATTTGGATAATTGAGAATAAAACAAATTAATCTGATAAAATATTTTCTTCCTCATTAATAGGGTGATGAGCAAGATACTATTCCCATCAATGCTGCATTTATTAATAAAAACGAAAAATATAGCCCAGCTGGTATGGCTCAGTGGTTGAGCATCACCCTATGGACCAGGAGGTCATGATTCAATTCCAGGTCAGGGCACAGGCCTGAGTTGTGGTTTCAATTCCCAGTGCAAGAGGCAGCCGATCAATGATTCTCCCTCGTCATTGATGTTTTTATGTCTCTATCCTTTTCCCTTCCTCTCTGAAATAAATAAAAATATATTTAAAAACTAATACTAATAATATAAATGATGTTGCATTTAAAAAAACTTTCCAATGAATAGTAATATCCATTAATATAATTTGTTCTTCAAAATACCCTCATAAAATTTAGAGGAAATATATTAGGCTGCATGGATATAATTATAATTGTTTGAAGGACCATACTCTAAATGTATTGATCAATGGATCAATGTTAAGATGAAGGGAATCTCTATTATTAATCATAGCAATGTTATGGTAGAATTAGAGAAACATTAAAAAATAAACTTCAAAAACTTGGAGCATTTATTTAATAATCTATTTTAATTTATTTTATGTTCCTGTAAATTGGAGGAAGAAATCTAATACGGTGATCTTGTATTTTTATTCTATTCAATTTCCATCCTCCAATAGCTTAGATAAAATTGCATAGTTTTTATTTTTTCTAATTTTCTGAGGGAAAGTTCAACGGAGAAATTGGAATTCTATAATTTCTTTTAATGTTGACTGGATGAGCTGACTTTAACAAAGTTAAATCTGATGGGAATAAATATGAGTTCTAATCTCTGGTCCAAAAACCACTCAACTGAGTAAGTTATATTTATAAAAATATAATACTATACAGGAAACACGAGTCCCTAGACACAACAAAAATACTGGTAAAGCAAAATTGCCCAGCTGGTGTGGCTCAGTGGTAGAGGATCGATCCAAGAGCCCGAAGGTCATGGTTTGATTCCCAGTCAGGGCACATTTCCAGGAGTTGGGGGCTCAACCCCAGTAGAAACATCATCATTGATGTTTCTATCTCTCTCACCCTCTTCCTTCCTCTCTGAAATTATTAAAACAGTATTTTATTTTAGAAAAAGAAGTAAAGCAAAGTCTTTGGAGGATTTAGAATATGAACCATCAAATGATCAAGGCACTGAAAAAGTCCATGTAATAAGTATGGGTTACATTCGTCACAATATTAGAAGAGGGATGGTCCTGTATCTTAGTGCTGGTCAGCTAATGACTGTTATACTTCTACTTGACAAGCTGGAATGTATGTGGACATCTGCTAAGATGATAAAAGGCTTCTAGATTATGTAAGGTAAAGAACTCTCTGAAGAAAAGACTTAGGGTAAAAATGACAGCATCTCCAAATATCAGGAAATATGTCCTTTAGAAGAATAATTCCATTCTGTACGGAAGCAGGGGTATAAATAGAATCAAAGCATAAAGGCTATGAAAAATATCTCTCATTATGAGGAATACTTTCCATCAGAGTTACCCATACATAGAGCATTCCATTTGATAGAAAACAAATTTCTCATCACTTAAAGGACTTAACCTTATGTAACTGAACTACTTAGTGG